AGATTACTACCGGACGAGAGTGTACGCGTTGCCAGTGTTTTGTTGGAGTCGCAAATTGGTGTAGAGGTTCGCTAGGCGGTACATGTTTGGGTCCTTCCAATTCTAGCAGATTTTTTACCTTGTAACGTAGTCGCGGATGTTCTTGGGCATATCGTTCCATACGTTAATCTGGTTACTGCTGCTAATGTCTTCTTCACGCCCAGATGCGCTATGCCGTAACTGGGAGAATGAACTTGGGCCATAAGGTGGTTCCTCAATACCAATCTTCGGGCAGAACAAGTTACCTTGAGGACCTTGATAAATCCGCTCAGGCAGTCGGTAAAGCATGTCTGTCATGAGAATGTACTCCTTGATTCTAGGGACATCGGAATCTTTCCGCAGGGCTTCCTTGTGATTCTTTATCCGTCCGCATTCATCCTGTTCTTTCCTTCCGTGAAAGGGTCCAGATGACTGAGCGCAAGGTCTCGAGGTGTCATTACAGCATTAGCTTTTGGCAGATGTCAAAAAAGAGTGCCACAAATATTCGACGGTATACTCTCTCGATAAACGGTAGACTATCTCGATGTCGTATCCTTGGAGTACTGTCTGGTGTTCGGCTAATCTTCCAGTAAGGTCTTTCGTGTCTAAAGGTGCTTCCAGTGGTGAGTGGTCGGTAATTACCGTGCACTTGGCTCCGTCTATGTAAGAGCACATGTTTATAACACATGTAAGTAACAACTCCCGCCCTATGTAAGTGTTAGGGCGTCAGCCCCTTGTTACTTACATGCGTTATAAAAATGTGCAAATTACTTCTTTAAAATTGTAAATAATTAAAATATTTGACTCTGTAAAAAAATTTTCTCGAAAGCGTGGCTGACGCCACGCCCTATTTTTCAAAAATTTGGGGTCAGGGTGACCCTAAAAAATTTTCGGAGTGCGTGGCTAACGCAACGCGCCTCCATCCAAAAATTTTTTCGTTCCCCCTTTCCGCCTGAACGTTTTTTCTGGGAACGCCACTGGCGGATAGCAAGTTCGTGTTTCTTCACTCTTGCCGGAACCTCCGCATACTTCGGTTTCATAGTGACTTATTTGAACCAACAAGAACGCGTCAGCCACGCTTTCGATGAAAATTTACGAATTGTATATAGTTAGTTCCACTCTTCGAACTCTTGTATACTTTTTTTAAAACTGATCTTACTTTGCTTCTCTTCCCGGAAATTCACAACCAGAAAGATGTTACCACACTTCAATCCATATAACTACAAGCAAGCCAAATCAAAATGTACGCGTATTGGAAAAGGAAAAATCAAAGCATTTGTAAAGCAACTACATGTTAAACACTATAAGGGCACTGCAGATAACAAGACAAAAATATGGTTAACAGAAATAACCCAGGCATGGACAACTC